TCTGGTCATTATTTTTTAAATATAGTTTTTCTTTGTTCTTCAGATTAGATAACATATATTAACTTTATATTAAATGGTTATTTCTTCTTTCATCTCCAGTCTGCTATTAAACCCATTTAATAAATTTTTCATTTCAGATATTGTGTTTTTCAATTCTAGAATTCTATTTGGGTCTTTTTTGTTATTTCCTTTTTCTCCTGAGGTTCCTGATCTGTTTGTTCATTATGATCATGCTTTTCTTTAAAACCCTTAAACATGTCTATTATAATAGCTGATTTAAAGTTCTAGCCTGTTAATTCCAATATCTGGGGCATCTTTTTTTTTTTTTTATAATTTTGTTTGTTTATTTTTTCCCCCAAAGCCCCAGTAGATAGTTGTATGTCACAGCTGCACATCCCTCCAGCCACTGTATGTGGGACGCGGCCCCAGCATTGCCAGAGAAGCGGTGCAGCGGTGCGCACCTGGGATCCGAACCTGGGCCGCCAGCAGCGGAGTGCGCACTTAACCGCTACGCCACGGGGCCGGCCCATGGGGCATCTTATGGTTGAGTTCTAGTGATTGCATTTTCTCTTGACTATGGGCCACTTTCCCTTGTTTCTTCTCATAGAGTGTGGATGATACCAAGTATTGAGTCTGGATTATGTCATCTTCCTTTAAAGGGTGTTGAGTTTTGTTCTGGCAGACAGTTAAATTAGTGGCAGATGCTTGTGGTCGTGTCTGGCTTGGTATAATTCTCTGTTAGAGCAGGTGTATTTCAGTTTTGAATTTAGTTTTGGGATGTATCCCTTTCTCTGGGGCTTAGTCCTAAAATGTTGCCTTTCTTTGGTCTCAGTTAAATGCTGATGCACTCAGTGAGTCTCTTTACGCTGGCTTACTTGGATTTCTACTTTCTCAGCATTTGATGGCCTCTGGTATCACTCACTGTTCATCTCCCAGTTCTGTCGCAGATGATATTTTTTAGGTCTTGCTGAATCTTTCCCTAAGTTTGTGCAGCCCAATCCTTGGCCAAAGGCTTGCAGTGAATGCCTATGCAGACTTCTGAAATCCCTCTTTGCATAGCTCCTTCTTCTTAGCTACTCTGCCCTACAAAGTCCAGCTGCTTGCTCAGCTCAGTGAGACTGCCACTCTGCCTGGGTTCCATCTCCCTGTCAAGTGCTCCCAAGGCAGAAAGTGGGATGATCATGGGACTTAACTTGTAAGTTTCTCTTCTCCCAAAGATCATAGTCTTTGCTACTCCATACCTGAAAACAATTGCCTCATATATTTTGTTTTGTTTTGTTCTATAGTTTTTGGCAGGAGAACAAGTCTGGTACCGGTTGCTGTGCCATGGCTGGAAGTGGAAGCTATGTGGCTTTAAGCATTAAGTTAGTTAAGATGTACAAAATTTCTGTATAAACATTAAGTATCTATACAAACATATGTAAAGGTTGTGATTTCTTTATCCCGCAAGGATTTATAATTCTACAGACAAGACAAATATTGGACTTTAAATACTGGAAACCCTGCCTCTGGTTAGGTCTCCTAAGCTTGTAGTAGCCAGCTGTATATAATGTATCATAAAATTCACTATATATAAATTTCTTTTTCTTCCCTTCTTCCATCCTCACCCCACTAATTGTGCTGTGTTAAATTTTCCTTTCCTCAGGGAGAACTTTCATGGACAGAGAAAGCAACTCTTCTAAGTGTGTGGAAGGGAAATGTCCACAGGACATCTTTTTTCTCTACAGTGTTTAATTCTCCTTCTATAATGGAATGAAGGCCTGTTTGTTTCCAAATGGTTATTTTGGTGCTGCACCATTCCTATGGGTTATCGGATGTTAAAATCCTTCGGGCCAGAAATAAAACTTAAGAATCACTTGCCCCCCTGCCTTTTATTTCTGAAATACTATGAAAGGATGAACCTTATAAGCAGAGGACAAGTTATCTGTTTCAAAAAAAAAAACTGGAGAGAACTTTAAAAACAATAATCTGCCTTTGATAAGTCTGTTTTATGTAATCAAAGAAATAGAGCATTTGACCTGTACTTCTGTATCTGTCCTGATGGCTATCTATCACCCCTCTCTATAGTACAGAGGATTTTGGTACTCAGACTCTTAGAGGGACATAATCAGAAGACAATCCCCTTAGTAAACTTTGTCAGATGGTCATTTGAACACCAGTCAAAATAGTGAAGCCTATACTAAGTTCTAAAGTCATGTAATGAAAAACTAACTGTAGGCTTGAAGTGATGAAAATTTGAATATAGAAAGATGTAAATGTGCAGCAGGCATCTTTGCTTCTTGTATTTTGGTAGCTGGCCAGGTAGATTAAAAAAGGAATTCTGGGGATGCCCAATACAGAAAGAGAAGATGTGTAGATTCATTATCTTGGTGTCCTGCTATCAAGTCTCAGGGCAATAAACACTGGGTATGTAAGTATAGCATCTGGTTTACTGGAATATTGATGTGGTTACGTCTGAATATTTTTCAAACAGGAAAATTTCTTTCTTTAAAGGAAACACTTTAGAGCTAGAGTGATCAGAAATCCAATATTGACAAAAAAATTTCCTTGTTTTCAATAATACTGTTTGGATTAACCAAATTTGCTGAGTCCTCTTATGAATGGAAAAAACTTTGAATATTTAAAAATTCTGATTTTTTTTCAGTTTCACTTTGTCTGGATTTTCCCAATGCTTCCCTTCCATAATCCCTTTTATTTTCATATTCTGTATGAAAGAATACACAGATTAAAAGCTAAGAGAAGCTGAGATAATTTTATTTTTCTTTTAAACAGAAGAAAGGAAAAAGGTGGGGTTACATTTTTATAAATATCTATAAATATAGAGCGATAGGCAAAATCTTCCAAATAAATAAATAAATATTGCCACGTGCTAAGGGACACAGGAGATTGTGGGGGCTTCCTTGGCTTTGCCAAAGAGAAAGCTCCTGATAAATGGTATTGAGTTTGTGAGATTACAACAGTTTTCTACCAAAGCCCTTTGGGATTTTCCATCTCCTAAGTAGTGGGGAGCTTCTAATAGCTTTTATACATATATCTCCAACGGAAAATGAAAGCCATGTCAAGAAAATATTTGCCATGCACTGCTATATAGTAGTATGCATAGTTTTAGTGTTTCAGAATAGGAACTAGTCCTTCAGGTTCAGCTTAAAACCATCAGGTGAAAACAGTTGTCCAATGTTTCATAAGTAAAAAGAATGGATCAATTTCTAAGGTTGGGTACATGATGGCAGTGGGAAAGAAAAGGTGACTGGAAAGAAGCTGTTGTTTAGATCTAGTCTGCTTGTTAATATTCTGCTCTTTAGGTGGCCATTTAAATAGAGGTAGGAAATGAGGCCCCCTGTAGGAATACCCAAGTCATGGGGTAAAGCTGGGGTGAGGGCTGAGCAGCAGCCCTGCCTGTCTGGTGCTCCTCAGCTGTTGGGTAAGTAGGGTTTTGTTTTCCTCGGGGTATAGTGGGGCTCCTGGGACTGAAAGCTGTCTTCATTTAATGATCCAAGAATTTCCAAATGGATTAAGGCCCAGACGTGTCAGCCTCGGAGCGTTTTAGCTAGTCCTCTAGCCACTGCTGCGGGTGCTGGAGAGATCAGTCAGGAGCTGGGACCGTGTTGTCCTGTCAGAACTCCTGCACTATGGTGCCTGGGTACTGGACTTCTTTTCCCCTTGAGTCCTTGATGCCACTTCACTTAGACAAAAGGACACAATTTGCCAGTCCACAGAAGATCTAACCCAGAGCAGTCCCATTGTCTCAAGACCCGCTCCTCATAAAATTTGTATAATTCATCCAGAATGGATTGCTACTCAACCTGGAAGTAGAGGCTTAAGTAAATGCCTCTTAGGAGAGTTTGAATTTATTTCCATTTCCTGGCGGGGTAGTTTTATGAGCCAACACCAAAGCTCTTCCTCCGGCCAAATTCACTAGCACCAAAGATGGGGCCAAGAGACAAGGCTATGTCCTGGGCCACTTGGGAACAGAGCCGGGTGGTTCTTGGTCCTCTGGCTCTGGCTGCGTAGAGGGAGAGAGCATGGTGAGGGGTGCCCACCCTGTGGGGAGGTTGAGTTTTCTAGTTTGATTTCAGCCTCAGTATTTAAGTTCTGACCAGCCTACCACCAATCTTTTTGTTGTTGTTGTTGTGAGGAAGATCAGCTCTGAGCTAACATCCATGCCAATCCTCCTCTTTTTGCTGAGGAAAACCGGCCCTGAGCTAACATCTACTGCCAATCCTCCTTTTTCCCCCTTTTTCTCCCCAAAGCCCCAGTAGATAGTTGTCTGTCATAGTTGCACATCCTGCTAATTGCTGTATGTGGGACGTGGCCTCAGCATGGCGGGACAAGTGGTGTGTCCAGGTGTTGGTGCGCATCCGGGATCGGAACCCAGGGCGCCAGTAGCGGAGTGTGCGCACTTAACCGCTAAGCACGGGCCGGGCCCCCACCAATCTTTTTGACAGCTCTTCTCCAGAGATGCTCAAGGAAGCACAAGGCTTGAGACTAGGATTTTCATCAATTTACCCAATTCAGCTATAATGCCCTAGGTCAAGGTTGCAAACTCAGACGCCAACAGGGTCCAGGCAGATAATATAAATAAATGCAAGGAGCAGTGGAGAAGCTGCTGGTAGTGGCACTTCCTTCACCTTGGAAGTGATGAACTCACTAAGCGGTTGCTTTGTTTTTAGTGCTAAACTGATAAAAGGGGCATCAGGAAGAGAAATACGGGGGCGAGAATCCCTTCTCTCCTCCTTAATGAGATTTCTAGTTTACCTATTGGGACTTCTTAATTCAGAAAGGTGGTACAGGTGAAGCGAGGAAGGCGTGAAAACTGCCATTTCAGGGCTCAAAGCAGACCCTCAGGGGACCTCCCGAGGAGGGGAGTGAGGAGGAGAGGCTAATCCCACACATTCCCGTCGCCGCCACCACCTTCCCCTTCATTGGAGTGTAAAGGGAGCTGGTCCCTTTAGAGACCGTTTTCTGAAAGACCGACTGAACAGGGTTCCTGTCTGGTTTCCCTAGTAGAACTTGGGGAAGGGGCGGCAGCGCTCCGCGCCCATGCCGCCGGCGTGTGTGTTCACCCTGTTGCCTCTGACCACCCCTAAGGGGTCGCTGGCCACCACGCTGTTGTCCTCGGCGCTCGGGAGCTCCTGCGAGCAGGAGACGGGCACGGGGGTCATGCGGGGCCGCGGCTTCAGCACGTTGAGCGGGTCGCGCTCGGAGTTGTCCTCGGCGCTGCGGGTGTGCCGCCGCGGCCGCGGCGTGTTGAAGTGCACGAGGGGGATCTCGTTCCTGCGGGACAGGAACTGCGAGTAGGGCGGCGGGTTCGTGCCGGGCAGGAAGGCCCTCTTGGCGCGGCCCAGGCTGACGAGGAAGAGGTGCTGCGGGGACTGGTACACGTCGTAGCCGTTCTCCAGGGTGCGCTGGCGGAACCTGCAGCTCTCCGGGCTGAAGTCGTGCTGGAAGGGCAAGCGGACCAGCTGAGGGCGGCCGACCGGCCCTGCGCGCTGCCGGCCAGCCTGCAGCCCCCAGTCGGCTGGCGAGGGGCCCCTCCGCGTCCCCAGCAGCTCTGTAGGGGGGTGCGCCTAGCCCCATGGAGCCCTGCTGGGGAACACTGCTTCTGACGAGTGCTTTCCAAACGGCAAGCACGGAGCACAGACCCCGCTGCCAGGAGTGGCGACCGCGAGGGCCTCACGGCCCCTGCCTGGAGACCCCGGTGGCCGGCGGTGGCTTGGGCTAGGCTGGACAGAGCGCAGCACCTGTGTCCGGCGGCCGGCGGGAGGGCTAACTTATGTGCAACCTCGTCCCTCCCGCTCTGCCTTTTTGAACCCTCTTTTGGCTCAAAGGGATTTTGGGTCTGTCTCCTTACCTGGAGGAAGGAGATGGGCTGGGGTTTGTAGGGTCAAACATAAATGAGGTTACTCACATCAGAGAGAGAACATAGTTTGGGAATTAGGGACATGAACTTCGGCAACAGGTGGCCTGGGTCTGAGCCCTCACTCTGCCACTCATTGGTACTGGGTTTTAGTGAGTGCCTGCTAGGGCCTTCACATATTATTTCATTTAATCCTCAAACTCCATGAAGTATTTTACAGATGAGGACTATCTATATGCCTATATGTGGTTAACAGATATTGATGACTGATTGACTGATGGTCTATATTTGTTCAACAGGTATTTATCTACCGTTACAGGTGCTGGGACACAGCAATAAGCAGAACAGAGAGCCGTTGCTCTCATGGAATTTCTAGGGGGCCTGTCTGGTAGGAGGCTCCTGAGATAAGCAGTCCTACTATTTTACTATCTCAAAATCCTTTGGAATATGCCTGCAACCTGTCATTTGGGAAATCCTTTGCTTCCCAATCTGAATGACCAGCCATCACAGTTGGGGCAGAGATCATTAATTAGAGATCCTCAACTGGAGGGAGCTCCCCTGGGCATGTGGTCCACCCCACTTCACTTTTTCCAGGTGAGGATGCTGAAGTCTGGAGAAGCGAGGGCACTTTCCCGAGGTCAGGGAGGTCTAGCACAGAATCAGGAAGGCCCCAGGGGCTTCTCCCGCTTCCCACTGTACTTTACAACATGAGTTTGCATGGCTAGAGGACCTGGTGCTGTGCTAGAGACAAAAGTGGGTACCAACAGGTGGTTCAGACTGGGGCTGAGAGCATGGGCTCCAGAACCAGACTGCCTGGGCTCAACCCCCAGCTGTATGAACCTGAGCATTTAGTCCTTAGACTGAATAAAGCGCTCAGTGAGAACATCACCAAGGTACACTGCAAATGGAACCTTTAGGTTATAACATTCTATTTTCTGTCAGAGAAGTTAATTATTTGCCAGTGGTGACCAGCACAGAAAGAAACTCACTGATCCGAAAATGTTTCCTCTGAAGTCCATACAGAGGTATCTCCTGCTCATCACACCGGTTATCACCACAAAGCCAGCATCCTCTGATCTGATCATCAGGGCACCTACGGAGAAAATCATTCAGGTCAAATCTCGCTACACATCCAGTTTCCTTGTTCAAGCACTTCCTGAAAACGCATCTTCGTGAAACCTACCTTGACTGATTGTTAACCGTGGTGATGATTTCACTTAGCCCTCCCCTTGTACTTCCTTATTCAGCCTCATTTCTTCTGGCTGTCCCCCGCTTTCCAACCCCCTACTCCCCCACATTTGCGTCCTGTGTCATCCTCCTGCCTGCACGGAGCACTCTGAACTCACGGCATTCTTTCACCTGTGCTGTACACGTTTCTCTCTCTGCCTGGACTGAATTTACTTTCCCCTTTGCCTGGCTAATACCTCTTAATGTTTGTGGTGGTGGTCACATTCTTCCAAGCCTTCTGCTTTTGTGATTTTTAAGTCTATGCCAAGATGTCTTTCAAAGATCCGGCTTGCATATAGAGTGTGATTCTCCACCCGAGTAGCTGGGTAATAGTCTGCCACGTGTCAGTTAACACCCACTAGGTGTCAAGAACTGCATTAGAATAGATATTACCCTCCCTTGTCTGCTTGTTGAAGTCACCCATCCTCCAAGGCCAGGCTCAGAAGTCACCATATCTATGAAGACTTTCCTGATCTCCCTAATCAGAATTACTTGTTCTTTCTTCTCAGCTTGCTCAGCATAATGCCTACACCTCTATTACACACCACAGTATTTCCACATGCATCTCACTTGGCCTCACAGCCCCCAGGGAGGTAGCCCAGGCAGGGGTTTGAAATGCTCTTCTGTGTGCAGAAGGTTGTAAATGCCCATCATCTGTGCCTCGTGGGTGATTTACAGCTGAACTCTCCTCCCCTACCCCATGTAGGCTCAATACAAAGACCTCGGAGGAGAGTAGCAGGCCATGCTTAGACACTAGCTGAGTATAGAGCCTGATATGGACTGAAATTGGATTGATGTGGGACAGAGAGAGTGAGCAGGGGAGCAAGGCCAGAAAGAAGAGGCAAGAAGAGGGCCAAAGAGAAAACTAAATTTGTTTCCAAGTTTGGCTGAGGGTTAGCCTTGAGGGAAGCTTCTGGAAGTGGAGTGGGATATGGGAGGTACAGAGGATATTTAAATTATCACAAAATGGGGTCTGCCTATGTGTCTCAAATTTGTGGCTAATTTTATGGTAAGCCCTGAGAGAAGCGTAAGGAACACGTAAGAAAGAGTTTCTGTGCTGATGAATTTTCAATCTAATTGGGGAAAATACTACACTTAGTAACTGTTTTTGAGTGGTTGCACTCTACGTACATATTTTAAATTGTCAAAGCAACTGTTCTGATGTTAATATAATTAGTATTAATGCTAGCAGTCACAGCATCCTAATTTAAGTCACAAGGAAACTAAGGCAGGATTCAAAGTCAGGTCAGTGACTCTAACATCCTCTTCCTACGACCCTGTAGCCTGCCTCCCACAGAAATCATTACAGGCTTGAGAAGACAAAACTAAGTGCCACAATTCATGCCTGCAGACCACAAGAACCCCAAGTTGTGTGCCCCCAAGTGGGTCAGGGAAGGGGTGCTGAACCAGGACCCAGGGTACTTGGATTCTGGTCCCAATTATGTCCCTCACTGAGTTTGTAGCTGTGGGCAAGTCATTGCTCAGTTTCCTCAGCTGTGAAGAGAGAACAGTAGAAGCCGTCCTGCGTACTTTACGGGGTTACGATTCGAATCGAGCGGGATGAGGGTTGTAAAGTGACGTGAAAGCATGGAGCAAGTGGAAGGCATTATATAGTATGTGCTGACCTGCTGTTTGTGACAAGCCCAGATCTTTGCAGTCATGCCGGCCTGATGCCTGAGTCAGTGTGGGCAGTGTGCTTAGTACACATGCTCCTGGTCACCTGGGCCAGTCCCAATAGAAAACAGCCTGCAGAGAGACAGCGAGCAGCTGCTATGGAGGACGCACACATAAATTAAACCAACATGAGCCAATGTGAAAGTTCAGAAAAGAAGAGATGGATTTTCTTCTCTTTGCAGTTTCAGAAGGCAGGTTTGCACAGTCTGCACAGATTCAACGGCAGAAGGAAGGCACAGATCACTGGTTCCTGGAGCCACAACCTGTTGGAGCCAGGCAGGCTCAGCAGACATTTCCTTGAGTGACAGCAGGTGTCTGTGCATGTGAGCCTATAAGAAGCATGGGATTGGGGTCAAGGTGTCCTCTAGGTCATTTACTAACTATGTGACCTTGAGCCAGTTATTTACCTTCTTGAACCTTTGTTTTCTCATGTGTAGTAGAATCATTTACCTCATTTGGTTGTCTTGAGGATGTAATGAGATAATATTTTTATCCACTATAAAAGCACTTTCTAAATGCTAGAAATGTCTACTGTTGCTATTTCGCCTCAACCTCTGCTATAAAAGTAGAAATTTATCTGCCCCTTTCTATTCTCATAGCCAGTAAATGATAAATAAGATGATAGATATAAAGTGCTTCGAGCTCCCCAAAAGAAAGAGCCCGAGGATAATTCAGCTTCAAGTAAAGAAAGTGCCAGTGGGGAAGGTCGAGGAAGTAAAAACATCAGGATCTAGGAAGTGTATTAACCAGGGGTAATAAGCATCTCCTTTCTGCCGTTTCCACAAGGTGAGAATGACAGGGCGTGGGAGGGCGGCCTCATTCATAGTGGGCAGCTGACACAGACACTGGAGCGGCTCCATGACATCAGCGCTGCCAGTCCCAAGAGAGGTCCTGGAATCTTGTAGGCAGATAATTTCTCAAAACCCAAAGATGATTAATCAGGAATTTACTAAAGCACCATAATCAAGTGAACCAGATTTCACTGGAAATTTATAATTAATTAAGGGGGAAAAATCACCCCACATCTTTCCATCAGTGTAAATGCATTGTTTTACATTCCTTGGGGAGAATCTTTCACCAGTCTGTTAAATAGTTGTGCCACCCATCTATACGCATCAGTGTTTCCTCTTTCCTTTTTTGGTAATTTTTTATCTTAGTGTATAAATTTTTTTTGGTAATACACATGATAACTGATTTGAATAGTACAAAAGGTGTTATAAACTAGGAAGTGTCTCCTTCCCACCACGCTGACCTGCGTTCCCCTCCCCATGTTTGTGTTAATTTCCAGAGACACAATGCTTAGCTAGTGTCTGTACCTGACAAAACAAAATCACATTTCTGTAAAAAAGAAAAATTCTGAAATCAGTTCAATTCATTTTGCTTCTTCTCAGTCATTTTAATTCAGTCCAACTAGTCCTTAGTGCCTCCTCTGGGCCCGACGCCGGTGGATATTTGAGAGCAAAGTTCTACAAACCAGTACCACTCACAGCCCACACAGCAGGTTGCACTGCTGTGCTCTTTGTCTTGTTCAGGAGGACATGTCTTTGGAGGGTTCCTTTCAGTGAAGGGATTCCATGATTCTAGACAAGTATTATAAGCATTCTTTAGTTGTATGAAGCCCTTTCCATCTATGGGAATCACAATAATTTACCACAATCCACTATCCCGCATTTTAAATCACCTATCATCCTGCAGTGGAAGTAAGAGTGGCCCTCCAGGCGAGGTGCAAAATTATGTTTCCTAAAAGTCTGATAATAAGCTGGGAGACAAGAAGGGATGAAAGATCGTGAGGTGTCTGAAGGGCTGTGTCTTCTTGTGCAGTCACAGAGCTTTGCACAATGTCAGACATATTGGAGGTTCTGTTAAATATCGATGAAATAAAAGGAGCAACACTTTGGATGCATCGAATGTATCCAGACTTATTGCTAATGACTCGAACTTGGCTTCCAAGATGTTGACTCTAGAATCCTAGTATATCCCTTTGAGTTCTGGAACCCACTTGGTATTTGGAAATACCTTTTCTCCCTCCTCTCATCTCCTATGACCATCCATTGAGCACCCGGAGGGGTGTGAACTCTTGGCTTTGCATGTGCATATATCTTGCCACCAGGTTTAAGGACCTTTGATTCTTAGCAGAATGAATGTCTTACACAGAAAGGCCACAGCAAAATTGCTGATTAATTCAGTACAACAATAAAGAGCAAATCATTATTCCTATAAGAAGTTTTCTTTAATTAAAAGACTATGGTTACTCTTTCATTACTTTAATTTGATCTATATTGAATCAGTTTGCATTTTTCTTATCCTTAGAGTGATTTTTAGATGTTTTCCTAAAATAGAAGACCTTGTCTTTTTCAATATCTCTCCCCCCCCCACCTCATTATCCCTTATATAGGTGCACACCAAGGGGCCCTCATTTGAATCATAGCTAATTGATTGATTATTGTGGATTGTGATCCAACTTTCCACAAACCTAATCTTGAAAACCTTCCAGTTGTCTCATGTTGCCAAGGTGTTCCCAACTAGCTCAATTTGCTACCGAGTGGAACTTTCAGCTCCACAGAGATGAATCACCAACTCATATCAAACTGGGTACTTCTGAAGCCCCCAGTAAACCTGTTGGATGGAAGGATGCATGGATGCATGGACAGATGAGTGCATGGATGATTCATGCACTTGGTCAGGCTCATCAAGACAATATACCTGAACAGTCTGTCTTTAGTACATTTTTCCTGAGAATTTTTATAAGGCTAGAATACTAGAAGCTCAGAGTTGGAAAAAGCCCCTGAGTTCATCTATTCTAACCCTTGGTCTGATACAGGAATCTTCTTTACAACCTCCATTGCTAACCCAGTCCAAAGTTCATGAGCTAAAACGCAATGTCTATTGATCTACCTGGCTTCTTTTCCTCTCAGCCTCTTTGCCTTTCTTTCTGTACATTTTTTGACTCTTTGGACAGGACAAAGAGAAAGTGGCTGCTAGTGTGGGAAGAGGGATTTTTGTTAAGATAGAAATTATTCATGTTGGGAGAAACCAGTAAACACTAATTAGGGATGTGGCAGAATCTTCTCCCAAGGTGTAAAAATACACACACACACACACACACACACACACACACACGTACATAAGTGGATCCTGGGCAAGAAACTGGATTAGTCTTCTGGTCCAGCCCAAGGCAGCCCCAAGTCCATTGTAGCTGGATGGACAGACGAGCTCCCCCTTCTTCCCAGCCTGAATGAAGCCCCTACTCACTGTAGATGGTCTGCTGGGGTGTGCCATCCACATGGCCGTCCTTGTGGATCTGCAGGTGGTAGCTGTTCCTGGCTGTGGCCGTGTACAGGTGGATCAGGCCAGCCCAGCTGGAGCTGAGCAGCGGGGAGGCGTTGGGATAGGCTCTCACTACAGAGCACAGGATGCAGACTAAGAGCCCAAGGCAGGCCCCCGACATCGCCACTCTCTGAATGGCTGGCGCGGAGTTTGAAACCTGACACTGCCTCCTCCACTCAAGGCTGTGCCTTGCTGGCCTTTTCTCCTCTTCTTCCTTGTGGATATCTGGCGTGAGGATCCTAGGCTGGATTCCCTCCTTTTTCCCCTTGGACTTTTAAAGGGTAGCTGTGTGACATCAAACAGGAAAAACTCCACTGTCCACATCCTCTGTGTTGTAATCAGCCCATTTGGAGAGAGTGCAGAGACCTCTGAGGCTCACGGAAGGCACGTCGGTTCCAGACACACACACACCCCTCAATTTCAAGCCAACGCTCCAAAAAGTGAATGATGTGTGGGCAAAAGTTATCTCGGACTCTGGGTTGCCTGTTGACCTGTCCCACTTCCACCAGGAAATGTGAAGGCAGTCAGCGGTTCCGAAAAAAATCCAGCTCCAGCTATGCAGTCAACCGACTTCTATGCAGTTAATCTCCTATTGAGTCTACTCATTTTGGTTTTCTCGGTCCTTGTAATTCCAATCGGGGACTATGTATCCAGTGCTCTCTCTGTACACAGCACTAGGTGGGTGTTCTGAAGGATACTGAAATAATACAGGACACCATCAGGCAAATGGCATCCTCCAAGACTGCCTCCTCATAAAGATATGGAAGCTGTGAGCAGAGGCACAAAAACCAAAGTTGCCTCCTTGGGAAGATTTCAAAATGGGAGGAAAGAAAACAAGGTCTTGAAGTCACTGCTGCTTTATGAAATGCTGGGATTTGATTTCTCAGTTTCCCTAATTTGGACTGTCTAGGGAGAGTAAACTGCTCTTATTGTCTCTCCAATACTATGGAGACTCATTCAGAGACCTCATGAAGATTGGAAGGCTGCTGACGGAGCACAGGGGATCAGAGACCAGGAAGGTCCCAGGAGCAGAGCAGCAGGCCAGGATGTCCCCACAGTTAGTGTCTACTGGGTGCCTGGCTCCTGGGCCTGGATGCTTTCTTGCAGATGCTGCTCACAGATATGCCCTCTGGGAAGCTACTTCTGATGTAGGGGGATAGTCCTAGCACATGCAGTCCAACGGGGAGCAAACTACTGGAACACATACTGAAAACGTATATGCACACGGAGACTGCTACTCTACCCATTTCCCATTTGCTGAGTACATACCATGTGCAGGCATCAGGCATCATGGTTGAGAGAAGGGGGAGCAAGATGTGATCATTGCTTCAAGGAGCTCACAAGCTAATGGAGGAGGCAGATTAAAATAAGTAACCGTCATACAAAGCACACTGGGAAGTGCGATCACACAGGTGCAGGCAAAAAGAAGTGCCATTTGTTATCCTACATTTGTACGAGTTTTTATAGTTTATGAAGCATTTTCACATATATTAGCTCATTTGAATCTCACTGCAACTCTGTGAGATAGGCACACCAGGCATTATCAATATTTTAATCTTATACATGAAGAAATGGAGATCTTGGGGTTTGTATGTCCAAAGTCACGCAGCAAATAAATGGGAGAGCTAGGGCAAGGTCTTCTGCAATAATAATCACAGTGACAACTAACATTTACTGAGAGCTTACTAGGTGGTTTACTTGTAGTAACTCATTAATCTTCATAACAGCCCTGTGAGGAGGTGCTGCTGTTTCCTTTACAGAGACGAGGAAACTGGTGTCCACAGTTTAAGTAACGTGCCCACAGATGTGCAGCCACTATGCAGAAGAGGTCGGGTTTGAAGCTGGGCAGCCTGACTCCAGACCTCCTAAGCACTGCTGGATGTATAAACCCACACAGCGTGTTAGGGCTGAAGCCACGAGAGCCAGGAGCATGGTAAGAAAGTGCAAGGAGCAACGGGGCCATTGACAAACCAATAGTACTCTTTGGTTTTTCTCTAGTAAAACCAGGATGTGTCTCTAAGATACAGAGTGTTGTCTCCCCCGGTTAGGTAGAAGATTTAGGACATTTAAATGCTTATGTATAAGACAGTCTTCTTGCATAATGGTCACAGTATGGTTCATAAATATAGTACCACATCTTAGCTAACGAAGAAATAGCCAGCTTTCAGAAGTGAAATGCAAATCATTCAGGAACATTTGCCAATTGATACCCCTACATTTCCTCTTCTGGTTTCGAGTGGTAGAGGCGGGAAGTACTTGTGAAACAATCAGCACGTATTGAGAAACTCCGAGCAAGAGAGAAGGGAAGAGGGAGTTATAGGAATAAAAAGCAGAACAAACTTATCCTCAAGGGGGTTATAATACAATTGAGCGGAGAAAAACTTGGTTCAATACAAGGCACTTGTGAGAGGAGCTGAATTACTAGATGTGTAAGAAATGCTAAGGGCGTTCAGAAAAGGGGGAGTTTTTGGTGGGTGGACACTGTGGTTAAGGAGGGCTTGGAGGGAAGAGAGACTCGAGGGAGCCTTGTAGGATGGACAGGCAGGGCGTTTCCCAGCACCCCAAGGCACGCTGGGGCGGGAGTGCAGGTGTCTTGGGAGGAGGGCATGGGCATCGTTCCATTCCTGGGGTGATTGAGGGGGACCATCCCTGGCCTCTTCAGCTTGTCTTGTTAGGAAAGAGAACTGATGTGCCAGCTTATTCCGCTTCCAAAGACTTCCCTCCAGGAAGAAGCCCTGAATGCCTAGCAGCCGGATCTGGAGCAGAGGACAGCCCAGGGGAGTAGGTTTATTTATGAAGGGAAGGGGGGAGGAGAGAAGCATTCCCCACTTGACGAGAGTAAAGGAAGGTACAACACTACTAGAATAATTCTTTCCACCTGAGATATAGGAAATTGAGAGCAGAGATGAGGATTTGCCTGTCAGCATGCAGACAGCAGAATTTCCAGCTCCTGGTTGAACTCCCTACCAGAGGGTTCCAAAGCTGGCTGCCCGTTAGAACCACAGAAACTACCCCAGGACTAATCTTAGACCTACTGAACATGCAGAGGTGAAGCCCAGCTGTTTGCACTTTTTTTCAAATCTACCTGGGAGAGTCTAATCCCCCACACTAGATGTTAATGATGCTAAAGTACTTGTCAAGAAACAGACTTTGCATCCCAACCATGCACTGGAATTAGTACACAGAAACCAAGGCCGCTTCTCCATTTGCCATTCCCTTCTGGGATTTCCAGCCTAACTGGGCAGGGTAAGATGTGAACGGTCCTTTCCAGGAAATTTTAGTACTGAACACCAAATCAGTACACTGTGCCTTTGATCCTTGAGCCTGGTGGGTGTGGCATCTCTCAGAAGCATCAGATGGTGAGGGAAGGGAGGGCCCAGGGTAACTTGGTTTCTGTTCTTTGCATCTAGAGGGCACTCATCTGTCACAGTTCAGGTCGGAGGATCTGGGAGCTAGTGTGACTTTAGGAACCAAATATGAAACACTGACGGGAGCAGGAAGCCCAGGGAGGAGGCTGGTGGTTTGTGGTTTTCAATATCGCTGGCCTTGGGGCCCTGGTGGCTGCCTGGGAGGCGGCAGGTGGGGACACCTGCTCTTCTCCAGCCTGCCCCACAAGCCACTGCTCCGGCTTCAGGAAAATTTGCCCTGGGGGGCTGTGTAGAGGCCTCTGGTCCAGTCCCTGCATTTACAACCACAGAATCAAGGCTTTAAATATGGAATGGAGGCTATAGGAATCTATATTCCCACAATCCCATTCCTTTCCCTTATCCTCTGACTTCTTTTTCTCACAGTCCTCTCTGGGAAGGTACTAAGGATTATCTCCCCAGATCACATTCTCTCCATGTGAAGACTTTTCAACAATTTTCAAAATATAACTTGTCTTGACTGTTATGAGGCTATGATGAAAACATGTTGGAGGCATCAAGGTGAAAGAAAAACCAGGAGTAGGGAGGTGATCTTAGGGTGGCTCACAGTTTCCTTTTCTTTTTGAGGTTCTGTGTAAAGGCTCCATCTGCAGATGGTAGGACCTGGCAGGCCTCTGCTCCCTATTCCGACCTCTTCATGCTTTGTCTCCATCATTTCCATAACGGTTTCACTGTCATCTGGCTCATCCGGTCCCTAGGTTCAGGCAGGTGGGTGTCTAAGCTATCCAGGACAAATGATTGTTTCCTCTCTTTTCAAAGTTGTCTGGGAGGTGCTGCAGTCTTCCTGAAAATGCCATTCCCATATCTTATTCTCAGTTAAATATTCTCAGTAATTAAATACTCTCAAACATTTGCTATTCTTATTAAAAAAAAACACCTTTTATGCTCTGTGTGAAGTGTAAAATAGGTGGCAACGTTTCATGTTACACATTTGAGAATCGAGGCTTATTTTAATCGAGGCTTATTGTAATTAGTATTTGGGTGGTGAACATGAGAACATGATGTAATCCATGCAGAAACAGAAGTATAATGATGTACACCTGAAATTTTTGCAATGTTATAAACCAATGTTACTGCAATAAACAAAAAATTTAAAAAAATAAAAAATAAAAAAAAATAAAAATAAAAAGGGTGAAGTAAATAGCAGTAAAATGCTTAGCCTTCTCATCAACAGTCATTACCGACCTATCCGTGTCAATATTTGTAAACTTACCAGATCACTGGAAGCTTGAGCCTGGTGGGTTGCGGCCTCTTACCAGAAGCTGGTAATATGATTATTAATTTATTAATAAATTTATTTCTTAATTATAAATTTATTAATAAATTAAATATTGCAATGCAGTATTTAATTTATTTAACTCAGTTAAAATGTGCTTCCTTATATGCAATCAGATTCTTTCTTATTCTAATATATCCACTCAATCAACATGTAACTATTTAGAGAAAGCCTATTTTTATGGCTAGTACTTTGTGGAAAATCTTTAGAGAAGCCTAAGAATGAAAAAGTACAGTCCTGGTCTTCCAAGTGTTTACAATGTACAGGGCAGAATTTAGTGTGGATTTGCCTAGCCCTTCACAACCTACAATGCACATTCACACCTAGTGTCTCATTTGATGCTCAAAACAGTCCTGGGAGGTGGACTAGGAAGTCTAGACCCGATACCTCCCGTGGGGTCAATCGCCTCCTTTTCCTTTCTTTCCCTCCAAATGAGATGTTTCCATTTCTCCTGCCCAAGATAAACTTTCCAGCTTATTCTCATCATGGTAGCCTTTCCAAAATAAAGGCTCGTGGGAGGCCTCATCTCCAGGGCAGGCCCTTCAACACTCTGGGTGAGGGTTCCTGGAACTCAAGCGGAGTGGAACATCGAGGCCTGGAAAGGAGTTCAAATCCATATAAAATGTCGAGGTGCTTCTCCAAGGTTCACCCCTGCCCCTCCTGCTGATGAACCCCAAGCTTCCAGTGATCTGGTAAGTTTGTAAATATTCACACTGATAGGTCAGTAATGACTGTTGATGAGAAGACTAGGCATCCGAGTGATATTTACT